ATCGCCATAACAAAGCTATGGAGTCTTTGGGCAAAGGATTGTATTTGAGAAAAAATGCTAAAGGTGGTTATGGGTTGTACCTCAAAAAAAAAACTCAAAAAAACTAAACATCAAGCTACCCAAGAAAGCGCTTTATGATTATGAAATAAAGCAATATGCGAAGCTCTTGAACATACCTCATTTCCGAGGTGTCTTCATGCGTGACACTTTACCACGAGACGGTCCACGTAAAAGAGAATGCGCCGTCGTGAACTTAGATATTTCACAAAACAACGGAACTCATTGGGTAGCTTATAAAAAGATAAACAACAACGTTGAGTATTTCGATTCATTTGGTAACCTGAAGCCTCCACAGGAACTTGTTCGATATCTGAAAAACGCTAAAATTTTCTACAACAACGATCCTTACCAAACTTATAATCAAGTTAATTGCGGACAATTGTGTTTGAAATTTCTATACAATAACAATAACAACAACAACAACGATGGATAATAAAACATTATCGGAATTTACATTAGAAGAGTTTGAGAAGAATATTCCGCCGCTGGAATATTTAATAAGCAATGTGAGACCTGCAGAATTATTGAGTATATGGCACAAACTGCCTGCAGAATACACATCCAATTTTGATCTTCAAATACGACTTCCATGCTATGTTCACTACAACAGACCTGATTGGACAACACATTGGGATGGACCGGCTACTGCTCAAGCAAATTGTTATTTCTGTAAATTATCCATTCGAAAATAAACAAAAAAAAACTTGAATAAATGCTTAGTACACAGCTATATTTTTTCATTCATCATGTCGCAGTTGTTGAGAGTCAATAGCACTACTCATATATTTTCATTTCGTCCTTCAACACCGATAGTGTTGGATCCGAAAAAAGATTATGAATTGGCGCTTAGGTCTTTTACTTCATACAATTCCATACCGAATATTGAAAAAGGAGATAAATTTTATTATATCGACCGGATAGGTGGTGGTGGTCAATTAAAAGTCATCGAGTTTCCGACAGGTTGTTATGAAATTACCGACATAGAAACATTTATACGAACGCAAATGAATCTTGAAAATGAAGTTGCTCCTCCGGATGATTATTTTTCTCTAAAACCTAACAATAATACACTGCAATGTGAAATCTTTAGCAAGTATTATAAAATAGTTTTTACAGAACCGAATAATCTTGGACATCTATTGGGATTCTCGAAAAAAGTTCTTAATCCTGGTCAAAAGCATTCTTCTGATTTACCTGTAAACATAATAAAAGTATCAACCATACACTTTGATGCTAACATTACGTCGGGAGCCTTTGACGGAGACACGCCTGCACACACGATCTACGAATTTGCTGTGACAGCCGATCCTGGATACGCTATAGTCGAAACACCTGTAAATTTACTATATCTACCTGTTATACCGAAACAAGAAATAACCAACATCACAGTGTTGGCTTTAGATCAAGACGGTCGTCCTGTAAACTTTCAAGGTGAAACTAGTACTCTTGTGTTGGAGTTGAGAGCGAAGCGCAGATGGGATTAGTGATTATAAGACATAGTGGTGCTTCCAAGGCAACTTCAGTATTACCCCAAGCACCTAAGCGACGACATCTACTACTAACTACATCAAATATCCTGTTTCTACGCTCACTTGGATATCATGTCAACAACAACAAGAATCATGTACAAAAAGAGAAAAACTGAGGAGGCAGCAGCAGCAGCATCACATACTTCTCCGATGTTTGATCTATATCGATCTCCAGCATTCGATGAATCTATTCGCAAGGCTGAGTATAGATCTTATACGCCGTTCATCAAGTCATTTAATTGTAATGATGTTGTGGAATTTAGCATCAATCAAGTAGATTCGTTCTTTGCAATGAACGCTTCCCTTCTATCTATCAAAGGGAAAGTTGAAATAACTGGAGGAGGAGCAGGAGATGTATCTTTAGCTCCAAACTTTGGTGCCTTCCTATTTGACTCTTGCACTTACAGTGAATCCGCTAGAGAAGTTGAAACAGTACGTGATCCTGGTATTGTAAGTACTGTCCGAGCTTACGTATGTTACAGTGAGGAAGACTCAAATCATATGGCTATAGCTGGATGGAACTATCCTTCAACACCTATAATGGCGTCAACACATAACAAGTCTTTTAGCTTGCTAATGCCGCTTAAACATATTTTCAACATTTTCAATGATTATCCTATGATTACGTGTGGCAGACAAACTCTCAGATTTGTGAGAGCTAGAAACGATAACGATTGTATCATTATCAAGGAAAAAACTGGAACGACGACGACAGCGAAAATAACTATTGAAAGCATGGAACTGAAAATCAAACATATTTACCCGAGTGATGATGTGAAAGAACAACTTTTGAAAGCTATTCAAACTGATAAGCCGATACTTATACCGTTTAGAAAATGGGATCTGAATGAACTGCCTGCAATTACCGCAGATGCGAGAAGAGAAATATGGTCAGTTAAAACTAGCACCGCAATCGAAAGACCACGTTTCATTATAGTATGTTTCCAAACCGGTAAACGTGACGTCGCAACCTCAGACCCTACCCTGTTTGATCACGTGAATGCTGCTAGTATTCGAGTATCTTTAAATGGTGAATACTATCCCAACGAACGTATGCAATTGGACTTTGCAAACAATCACTTTACTGAAGCTCATTTCAACTATAGCGACTTTCAAACCAGCTATACAACTTCTTCTTCTCCTCTGAAGAGATGTCTTTTAGATTATACCGCTTTTAAAAATCGCGCTTTGTTTGTTATTGACTGTTCCAAACAAGAGGAAACCATGAAATCATCAACTGTTGATGTTAGATTGGATATCGAAGCCGATACTGGCTTTCCAACCAACACCAAGGCCTACTGCATCATTATACATGACTGCTTAATCGAGTACTTCCCCCTCACCGAAGTTATTAAAACCATCTCGTAAGCAACGAAGGACTCTCAGTTCCGCATCAGACATCATGAGGATCGCGTTTGTTGACATTCAAGGCTTTACAGTTGACGGATTATTCGTACCTAAAGAACTATGTATCGAAATTGGTTTCAAGAAAAGTCATTACATCTTTACACCTCCGCAACCTTTTTCTACATTAAATACTAAAGACAAGAAAACTGTCGCTTACTTGGAGAAGAATTTCCATGGGCTTAAATATTCTTCCGGCGACGTTAAATATTCCAAGTTAAATGAAATAATTAAAAATAAGGTGATATATGCGGCTGACTATGTCTACGTTCGTGGAGAACAGAAAGCAAACTTTTTACTCAAGAAATGTCACATTTTTGGTGTTTTTCCCAACATTATTGATGTTTGCAAGTATGATGGTACACCGTGTGCTACTGGAAACTTTGTTGCTGATTCCAATCCATGCCACACCAACGGACAATTTTCCTGTACCCAGAGAAATGTTGAACGTCTACGCCACTGGTTTTCAAATATCATATTACCTATGTAGTTTTTTCTATTTTCAATAAAATATTAAACGTATTATTGTAGTTTTATTGAAAATACCTCTGGTTTGCGAAATAATTGTCAGAATGTCTATACTATTTTCATTTTGAACGGTATCATCCTGTATAATAATAACAGTACATCGTATACAGGTTATGAGACATTCTGACCGACCGACCGACCGACCGACCAGAGGAGCCCACCACGCTATTTAGGTCACGCCTTGCTATATACGATTTAACGATATACCGTCGGTCCATCGATCCGCTATTTTTCGATGCACCCCTGTATACACGTTCTGAATGCCCCCCGTAATCCACGCCAACACCAGACAGGTGCGACATCGGCGCCATCTATGCGCGAGATGCCCAACCCATCAATGGCAGCTGTCCAATGACACATAGATTCCGTTTGGTTTGTACAGCGCCAAACAAATCGGCGCCATCTATGCGCGAGATGCCCAACCCATCAATGACAGGTGTCCAATGACGTATGACAGATGACGTGTAACGCCATCTATGCGTGAGATGCCCAATGACGCATGACAGGTGTCCAATGACACACAGATTCCGTTTGGTTTGACAGCGCCATCTAGCGGCGGAATCCCCAACTCATGATTACAGATTCCGTCCAACAACCTGTCAATGGCGCGCGACGCCAGCGCCTCTGGTGGCGGATTTTGGAAGTTTTGAGACCGAATCCCCATAAGACATCTACTTGTGTTGTCGCACTTATTCCCAGAATTTAAGAAGGGGGGCAGGGACAGGCAGCGCAGGTAAAAACTGGATCGCGATAACAATACTGCCTCACTCTAGCGTTTTGTGTTATCAGTGATGTTGACGGAACGGGGCCCCCCGCAGCGGCGCGATGCTGATCTCACTCTCATCCTTTGTATTCAGTACGACGTTTGACGCTCTGTGCTACACCTGTATTCTAATGTCTCCTGTGACTTAACTGTTACGATCTTGGCTCTACTGTAGACTTTGAACATTTTTTGTTCGTGATTTGGATTTTTGTTTGATGAATCTCAACGACTTGGCGCTACTGTGGAAATTGATTTTCTGCACATTATGGCTAATCGACGACCAGATGAACATTCTTACACGGCAAGCGAGTATGCTGACATGCATCTTGTTTATGGAGAAACAAGGCGTGTTAACACTAGAGGTGGAGCAAGTTATTCTGCCAGGGAAGCTGCCAGGATTTACGCTGAGCGGTATCCGAACCGTCAGCACCCAGCTTATGGAGTATTTTTAAGAGTACACAACGCTTACTCACAGGGTCGATTTCCTGGTGGTCCTCGTAGTGAAGGGAGACCTTGGAGACATAACGACGATGTTGTTGTAGAGCACGTAACACCGAATACTGCAATCGTTAAGATACCATCCGTATCACGTGCAAAAAGTGCAGTCTCTTTTAAATAGAGATTATGCACCTCGTGTACAATTTTGCCGAAAAATGATCGAGCTAAGCCGAGAAGACACCAACTTTTTTAATCGAGTTTTGTGGAGTAACGAATCCACCTGTAAGTGTAATGACATATTAAGCGGAAAACCGCAAAAACGCTAGAATTAGCGGCCCGCTCGAAAACCGCCTGCAATGCAATGTCAATGCTCAATGACATATTTCCTTCCCGCCGGCCGCTGCGATCGGCGGCAAAATTCAGTCCGCGTCTTGTCGGCGGGAAAGCGATTTGCGTTTTGCGGTTTGAGTGGGGGAAACATACACAAACTAACGCCTGGTGACAAATAGTTGTCTACTGAACCGCTGCGGGTTGCGATTTGTAGTATGTTTCGTGATTTCGTCGAGGAGTCTGCAGAATCATGTCCACAGAAAACCTCATTGAGCTCGTTGAGATGCATCCTTCCATTTAGAACAAAAGTTGTGAGCAGTACAAAGACAGATACGAAAAAGAAAAGGCTTGGATCGAGATCGCCCGAAGGATCTTCCAAGATTGGGATACACTTGGGAAGAAAGAGAGGAATAAAAAATGTAAGTTGAAGGTACCAAATATAATTGAGGCGGTCAGAAACAAAGGGATGTAAGTGACTTTTCCACCAAAACCGAGTTATGGGCACAATCAAATTGTTTAAGCACAATTTTATTCGGTGGCAAAGGGATATACATGAATTCTTTTCTGGTGGCTATATGTATCCGCTAAAAGAAAAAGTACTCAGCAATATCTTCAACTTACTTGGAGGCAATGGGATGTATGTGCACTTATATCTCATTGCCTCCAAGTTATAGACCAAATAAAGCAATTGCGTGCGAGTGTACTGCGTATTTATGACAGTGCTTTAGGTAATATTATTGTTGTTTTTACAATAACTATTCAATAATATCAGTGAATATTATTCGTGTCAATCATATTATGATGGATTTTGAGTTAGATGGTAAGTACGATAAAAATCAAGTTGAAATTAGATGTTTTTTAGGTTAGGAAGTAGAGTTTTATTTTTCTCATATGTTCATGGTTTACGATGTTCTAAATTTGCTTTGTATTCTTGTATTCACTTTTTTTTGTTGTGTCTTTGTTTTTTTGAGGTGGATTTAAATTCCTATTGTTTTTTTGCAGAACCTGTCGATGATAGCGATCTAGATCGCGACTACCACCCAGATAAATCTTCATCTATGAGTGAAGCAGAGTCGGATGAAGGCGATTTAGGCAATCACCAGATAAAGCGTAGCAGGAAAAGGGTTCGAAACGAGTCATCTTGGATAAGGAATAAAGCCAGGAAGTTCAGGAACAGTGGTGGGGAGTTCATCGGTCATAGGAAATTGCTAAAACCAGCAAGAGCCGTTCAAGATCTGGCAGATCATCACTGTCGATACCAGTCTAATAGTTTTTCAAATGAAGATGGCCAACAAATCTTTGAAGACTATTGGAATTTGAGCTCATGGAATCTTCAAACGGCATTTCTTACCGCTTGTATGGAAACACGTGCACCTTTGAAAAGAACATTAGGTGTTGAGCCACGTAAACAGGTGAGCGTTCAAATAAAATTAGTGGGAAAAAGAGTGTGTAAACTCTTTTTGTTGAAAACTCTGAACATAAGTCAGAAAAGATATGACAACGTTTTAAAAAAAAGAAACCGCACAGGCGTAGCGCCAACTGACCAACGTGGTAGGCATACCCCAGCAAATAAGATTTCGGACAACGATATTGCAATAATAAAGGGCTACATTAAGTCATTTCCAAAATACTCGAGCCATTATTCACGTGTCAAAAATCCGCATACAAAATATTTGTCAGGCGAACTAAGCATCCACAAAATGTATAACCTTTACTTGCAGTATTGCCAAGAAAATAACATTCAAAACCCTGTTAAAGAGAGCTTTTATAGATTTATTTTTACAACGCAATTCAATCTTCGTTTCAAACGGCCCCACACTGATACATGTACAATATGCGATATCCTTGAAAATAAAATCAATAACGACAATAATCCTGAAGTAGTGAATGATAGTAAGATCCAGAAAGAGATTCATTTACGAAAAGCTGAACAGGCTAGATCAGCTAAAAATGATGTCAAGAAATTGGGCAAGGATAATCCAAATACTGTAAATGCAATATGTTTTGATCTAGAAAAAACTCTCCCCACGCCTGTATTAACTTGTAGTAAGGTCTTCTATCTGAGACAACTGTGGACTTATAATTTTGCAATACATAATCTTGCAAATGATCAAGCATCAATGTTTATGTGGCACGAGGGTGAAGCGTCTAGGGGATCCCAAGAAATTGGATCATGCTTATTGAGATATGTTCAGCAACTGCCTAATTCAGTAGAACATATCATCGCATTTAGCGATAACGCAGGCGGTCAAAATAAAAATAACAACATTATAAAATTTTGGAGGCATATTGTTCAGACAACCTCCATTTGTAGAATTGACCACAAATTTTTAATTTCTGGTCACTCTTATATGGAGTGCGACCAAGATTTCGGGCTTATCGAGAAGTCAAAGAAGAAAAATCAATATGTTTTTGTCCCGGATGATTGGAGCAAAATAGTAGCTCAAGCTAGTCGAAAGTTTACTGTTGTACGAATGAGAAATGAAGATTTTTTGTCAGTTGAACAGATGAAAAAAGAGATAAAAGACAGTATTCCAGGGATACGTAATATTCAGTGGTTTTGACTGGAAAAAGATAAGCCCAATATTCTTCAATACAAGAACACTTTGAATGAGGAAATGGATTTTGTGCATTTTGACCTTAGAAAACAGAAAAAGGGCAGTCCAAATACGCAATTTGACCTTACATTATTGTATCCTGAACCACCATCTATAAAAACCGCCAAATACGAGAACCTCCAGCAACTCCTTCAGTTTATTCCCCCCATTTACCATAACTTTTATTCATCACTAAGACATCGAGGAAGCATAGCTTCCGCAACAAACGAAAATAGAGAAGTAGATGCCAACGTCAGCCAAAGAGACATTTCTGTTGAAAATTCTGCAGATGTTTCAGCTGAATGGGAATCTGATGATGATTAGAAATTAAGAGCGAGTCAGTGCTTGGTGATTGACATTAAAACCTCTGAGTATTTTGTTTTGTATACATTTTTTTTGTCAAACTTTCGATTTCATCTGTCTGCTATTTTGTTATTTTGCAATAATTTACAAAAACCCTTTATTAAGAAGATTGCTTGAATCCATATGCAATTACGGGTAAAGAAAATAAGATTTATAGTGTAAGTATTATTCAAAAATTAAGTGCTAAGGGGTGTAAGTGATACCATCGCTTTACTGTAGGTAAGTTAAAAAGTTTAAAAGCGAATTTAATATAAAAAAGTCGATTGTTTGTTCGTATATTGACTGACTAGCATTTATTTTCACCACATGAAAATTACGATTAAATTTAGAAACCAATCTTTCAATTCTTTTTGGCATAATTTTAAAATTACTATTGATGTGCATAAGTGATGTTTTCACTTAAAAAAAAAGATTTGGCAATCAAAATTTAATAAAAATAAATAAAACGAAAAAATAACGCATTGGAACACGGTTTTTACATGGACATGGGACACGGTATTTTCCTAAAATTTTATTCTTATCATTCATCGTTTTTTGTATACGTAATTTTTTTCCGGGCAATGCCGAGTTTCTCAGATAATAGGTATTTTTTTAGAATTAAGTACATTGTAATACTTTAATACATTTATTCACAACTACGTGAACATCCTTGCAATTCAATAATTATACTCCTCTTGAAACGGGACGGCACCAATCCCAACAAAATAATCTGCGAAAAAATCGCGAACTTGTGTTAAATGGTCGCGGGGCGCTGCACCAGTATTTATTACGTCAGGAAATGGAGGGATTTCACCTTCTTCATAATTGGCACCATCTCTTTGCCGAACGAAATTATGTAGGATGCAACAGGCTTTTACGATATCATCAATGAGCTCTGGTCGTACCAAAATTGGTGTGTGAAAAATTCGCCATTTATTGGCTAATAAACCAAATGCACACTCGATTGAACGTCTGGCTCTAGAAAGTCGGTAATTGAAAATTCTTCAACGACCATCAGTGTCACGTGCAGGAAAGGGTCTCATGAGATTTGTATGTATTTTAAACGCTTCGTCTCCAAGAAATACAAAAGGCTGAGGAGTGGAATCTGTTCCGGGTAGACACTTAGGTGCAGGAATATTTAGTTGGCCAGAATACAGTTTCGTACCAAAAGTGCTGACATGGAATACAGTCGAATCACCTTCTTCACCATAAGCTCCTACATCAATTGAAATAAAGCGAAGGTTGGCATTAGCTACTGCCATTAGAACCACCGAAAAATACTTCTTGTAGTTGAAAAATTTAGATCCAGAGCTCCGTGGCTCAACACAACGAATTTGTTTCCCATCCACCGCACCTAAGCAATTTGGAAAATCTGTTTTCTCTTGAAAAGTGTCGGCGATCTGGTACCATTCCTCTTTCGTTGGCTCAGGCATTTCTGTATCTTTCAAAGCAAGCCAGATTGCTTGGCAAGCTTCAGACACTATATCGGCAATCGTACTTCTTCCAATGTGGAATTCATATTGTAGAGCTGTGAAGGTATTTCCGTGGCCAAGTATCTGCAAAAAGAATCGAAATATACTACTAATTCTAGTGCACGTGTTTTTGTGTCTTTGTTTTTGAAATTAATTATTCTTTTTTAGCGGAAGCGTTGAAGAAGAAATGGAAGAACATCAAGGATTCATTAAGAAAATATTTAGATACAAGAAGCAGCGATGCTGCAAAAAAAAAGAAATATGTACACCTTGAGGCCCTAAGTTTCCTCCAAAACTCTGCTGAGAAAAGAAGGTTGGTCATTTAGTTGATGTTATATCATCTACAGTATATATCGTCATTTGCATCCTTTTCAGCACAACGAGCAATTTCGACTCAGACACTTCAGAGGAAGGCCACAACGAATCTGACATAGCCACAACTTCAGCGTTATCACTATCAGAATCCCATTCACCCATTTCATCCCCACACCCAGAAAACTCATCAACTCCAAAACAACATTTTTTGAGGAAGCCTAGTCGACCTGCCAAGATGACTCCTTTTCAAGAATCCCTTATAAAAAATCTCAGTCAGGCATCATCATCGATTACCCAAGCCAGAGTTGACGAAGATGCAGATCGTTTGTACCTACTTTCTTTACTTCCGGATTACAAAGCGTTATCTCCGGGGCAAAAGTGGGCATTCCGTGAACACGTAGGATACTTTTTCCGTCAAACTTTCGCACCTCCTACATCTACGCCTCCTCTGTCATTCCAAAACTACCGAACCACTTCAACACATTGTCCTCAATACTCCTATCAAGAACATAGTTCACTTTTCTCTCACAACATAACCCAACTTCAGAAACTCCCACAGCCACCGCAAACCTATCAAACATCATCTTGTAACATAGCACAAGAATCCACTCAAGTCACATTCTCTCCCAGTTCGTCTTCCCAATCACAGTAACGATATTACTATATTAAGTTGTATTATCAAGTATTTTGTTCACTTTTGATTTTTTTACAAATAAACTCGAGTTATGATTATTATTGATTATTTGAGTGTAATTTAAAACATTATTTATATAATATTTAAAATAAATAAGAAGTTATATAAATGTTTGGTTACCTGAGTGTGACAGTCAACCTTTCTTCTGCGCTAATTGGCTTTTTGAAAGAAGTCTCCTGTTTCGTAATAAGTGGACGTAGAGCTCCAAGTAGTTCATCGAATGACCAATTGACATGCGATAGTACTCAAAAAATTTATCGGGATGCTTTCTGATATCTCATTGTTATACGGGTGCACTGCATATCTGCGACTTCGTGGTTTCTCCAACAGGCCTTCAGCTTCAGCAGCACAAACAGTTGCTACGTTAACAAAATGTGCGAGCTCCATACTTCAAAGCTAAGCTACAACTGATGACAAAAGTAGAATGTGGCCATTCAAGCCTCTCCCCCTTGTCGCGCCGCCATCCACCGCCGCGCGGCCGCGCGGGCGACACTATGTCATCAGACCAGTTCCTGGATTCCCATTTCCATTTCGATATCGTATTAGTCGATTTCGGGAGATTTTGCGATTCCCATTCAAACTCGTATCGAGTTATCCGATATCGACTTACTCGGCACATCTAGAGGACCCGAATAGGGTGTTTCGATACCCAACATAAGCTAAAAAAGTTAGAATTCTGACTTGTCATCTTGTCAAAAAATAATTTTGCAGCCGTTTTCCAAAACAGTTTAATATGTATGTTTTAAATTTATACGTTGTTATGAATGATATATAAAATAACCAATTTTTAAATAGTTTTTTTGCAAGGTGCATTTTTCAATAATTGTTTATTTACAGGCATTGCTTCTTTGTTCCAGGTCTTTCAAAATTAAAGAAGCCCATTGGCATGTGATTTTAGATTGGATGATGAAAAACCCTGAATAGGCGAGAGGTAGGCTAAGTACCAGCCAAGCCAGAAAAGATTATAGTAAATTATGGAGTGAATTGACCAACAAATTGAATTCTTTAGGGCTGGGGCAAAAGAGTGTGGATAAGTGGCAAAAGGTAATTATTATATTTTTAAAGTGACACAATTACTTTTTAGAGTATCTCCTGTCTAGCACAATGTCTTTCTTAGATTCTTTCAGCTTGAATGTATTATAGAATCCAAACCTTATTAACCTAATAGGGCTTTTTGGAAACAGTGATCTGTATGTACCTGATCAATAAGATTACTAATCTTGACTTCCTGAAAGTAAACCAAGATTGGTTTACTACTATTGGGAAAGTATAAAGACCAATTCGATGATCAGCTGACATAATATTTTATACTCTGCTATGTTGGTGGGTGAAGGTGATCATTTTGATCAGCTGTTTTGTATCAATTTAAACTCAGCTTTTAAAAGTTTAATTATTAAGTATTTTATTGTTAATACCAATAAATTGAATATATAATAAATAAATTTTATTGCAGTCCTGGAGTGACTATAAGCTTAATTTGAAAAAGAGGGCGGCAGAAATAGAAAGATCTAGAAATTTAACAGGAGGCGGCCCAGCTTGTTCAAAAACTTTGAATGATTTTGAATTAAAAATTTTAGAAATATTAGGGGAAAGTTTTTTTAAAGGAACTGGAACTCAAGAATTAGGTGTAAGTATTATTTATAGTTGATTATCCTATAATAAGTGAATGTTAAAATTTGTAAAGCAGCTTCCACTGGACGACACGTTAGCGCTTCCACTTGATGACATGCAGCATTATGATGCTACCCCAGTTGCATCAACATCAGCTGCTACAAATTTTCCTATTCTGGAGGAACAGCAATCTGCACAACAAACCTTGACTCCTAAACCTCAACAAATAGAATTTAGGAAAAATCCTAGAGTTGAAAAATGTCTTTTTACAACCAAGGACCATGATTATCTACCATCTAAGACACCAACACGACAATCTGAAAATGATGAAGTTAAGCTTTTATATAAAGATACTGTTTCTATATTACACAGTATTAACCAAAATGTATCAAATATTGCCCAGAATGTAGGGGAACTAACTGAACAAATTAAGGTTTATGCAACAAATTTAGAAATGATTTTACAGAAATTAAGCCAAAATAGCTCTTAACATATATTTGTGTACTGAAAACCTCCAAGCATCTGTTTGCAAATTTGACTGTTGGTGTAACTCTTTTGAATGCACCATTTGTGATAAGCACTTGTTTCTTAAAATATATATATTTTTTTAGGTTCAGATTGCTAGTTTAGCAATACAAAATGATAAACTTTTTTTTGTTGAGGACTTTATTTGTTCTCTAGAATATTTCTTCTTTGTGTATAGTTGGATTTTTAGTTTAGTCAAGATTTGTGATATAAAAATATCAACCCTCTTTGTACTAGATATAAAAATGCTAACAACTTATTAAAAGCAGTAACACTGGTTTCTTGGAATATATATTTCTTGTTTGTTTTGATTTTTATTGCTAGTTTAGTAGAGTTTTGTAATACAAACTGCAGAAATATTATAAATACATTTTTATTAAAAAAACATTTTACATAATTGTAAACATTTATATCCTAAAAAAATATTGATTAACAATAATATTTCTAATATCTAATGCCTGCCTTTGCAACTCATGTTCTACATTATGAATGTGACCAATAACTTGGTCATTTTCTAATAATGGAGCTTCCAATAAAGGGACATTGAATCTTATACATAAATTGTGCAAAGCTGCTGTGGCATTAACTAAGGAGCCTACAAAACTTGGTGAATACTTTGCTGTTCTTTCTTGTAGACACGCCCTAAATCTATATTTCCATACTCCTATGCATCTTTCAACACAATTTCTCGCCCTAATATGGCACTGATTGTATCTAGACTCCGGTGAGCCATCTAGAGGATTTATAAAGGGGATCATCAGGAAAGGTTCTAACATATAACCTGAGTCTCCTATTAACCAAGATCCCCTTAATCTATTTTGAAGATATTGTTGTAATAAATATTGCCTGACTCTTGTGTGCCTCCATATGTAGCTATCGTGATTTGATCCTGGAAAATTTGCATTCAGGCTTAAAATTTTTAAATTATCATCACAAATAATTTGTGTATTTAGAGAATAGTAGCCCTTTCACACATCCAATAACTCCAGGAAATCCAAACTTATCCATGAAAGAATGTTTAATTCTATTATGTTCAATTTCACTAGTTGGAAATGTCACCTCATGTATTGCAATGGTAGTCTCAATTGCTTGTGTAACTTGCTGAATACACCTAAAATATGTTTCCATTATTAGAAATGAAATCAAATAAATGGATAAATCTGTTCTGCGGCCATTAATGAAAAATTATGCACCACTTTTGTACAAGGTACAAGAACTTTTAGCTATTTGTCTTCTAAGATTATCCAATAATAAAAAACTAATAGTGTAAAATAGCAAGTAACATAGAAAAGAGAAATATTTTATTCATACCTATGCACAGATGTTTGGCTTAAGCTCACTAGGTAAGAGAGCCCTATGTCTCTTTGGTATGATCCAGTTGCATAAAACCGTAATGAGGCAAAAATTTTAATCAAATTTGGAATGGAATTCCCATACACTCCTTGAGTCATCACTGGGCTTATGGTATTTATCACATACCTTGCCAACTCTTTATTCAGTCTATACAATTCAATAAACCGTTCTTCAGGAATATCGAATGGATTACTGTGATCTCTCAAATGACGCCTATACAAAACAAGACCTCTATTTTCTTGCCTTTGCCTAACTCTTTCCAAACGCCGGTGGAATATAGGAAGCATTCTAAACAAACTTGAAATATACGGTAATGTACAAAAGCACAACAAATGAACATAACCCACCAAAACAGATGTAAATGCCCATGCTTGCTACGAGAACTACGAAGCTCGATATCGTCTTTGACGTAGCTTGATACGGGGTGCAATGGGAATGCGTTTTGGTCGATATCGGATTTAGCATCGCAAAGCGAAAGTGACTCGATATCACGCAATCGACAACAATTGGAATCCGCATGCAGAAAGCGGTTTTCATTCCCGCTACTTTTGGCGTTTTGCGGTTTCCCGCCTAGTATGTCATTACACTAAAGGCTTTGGCACACAGAACGCGATCTGTCGCGGCGGGCTGCGGTCTCGGACCGCGAGGTGAAAGCGGTCATCTTGTATTACGCAGCATTGCATTAAAGCAGTCCCACTGAAGGCGGTATCCCGCAGCGGGCCAGTGTAGATCGCGGCGACACAGTCGTACAAAATTACAGATTATCGCGCGGTCTGTATTAAAAATTAAATCATGTCGGAAAATACTGAACAATTTATAGAAACAGTGAGAAAGTATGTGTTTCTATACGACACTAGACATGAAGATTACAAGAATGTTTTGAAAAAAACTGAAGCTTGGAAGGAGATAGCTGAAACTCTTGGACTGAGCAGTAAGTATATTTATTTATCACAAAAGAATATACAAAAATACGTTTATGATTTTATTTACTAAAGTAATCAGCAAAATGCTCTCGTACTTCAAACGCAACAGCATTCGATCTTCTGTTGGTCGGTGTTGTCGCTGCTAATGCTCGTATTGGTTCTACTTGTTCGTCTGTTTCAATGACTGATTCCCTATTGCCGATTTTTGTTATGATGTAATTGTGCAAACAGCATGCCGCTTTCACAATCCAGTCAGCAGTGCCCTCGTCTGTTTCTATAGGTCTTAAAAACAGTCGCCATTTCATAGCTAAAATGCCGAACGCATTTTCAACCACACGACGTGCTCTGCTGAGCTGCCGATTGAATGTTTTCTTTCTAACATTATTAATAACTCCAGATTTTGGGTAAGGCCTCATTAAATATGTTTGGAGTGGAAACCCTTCGTCACCAACGAATACATGAGGCACGGAGACTTCTGTTCCAGGAAGTGGTTTTGGGGGAAGAATAATTTTATCATGAACAAACTGTTGATAGAAAACTGAATTTTCAAAAATAGCGCTATCGCTATGGCGGCCATAATTTCCGACTCCCATAAACTTGTAATATGGGTCAACAATCGCGAGGAGGACGATGGAGAAATAATTTTTGTAGCAAAAATAGGCTGAACCACTATTTCGAGGGCATTTTAATTTAATATGCTTCCCGTCTATGCTTCCAAGGCAATTCGGGAAACCCCAATTTTCTAAGAATCCCGCTACAGATTGCTTCCACATCTTCGTGGTGGGTCTGGGCAAGTAAATTGGTTGTAGAGCCCTCCAAATTTCTTGACAGACATCTTTCACTATTTTGGATACTGTGGACCGTCCTATCGCCTGTAGCCAGATATCTGAAATAGAAAAAGTAATATGTAATATTAAAATAAGTTTTATTCTTGTTTTAGGTGAATCAGCTAAACAGAAATGGAAAAATTTACGTGATTCGTACATCAGATACAAAAAGTCCGTGAAGGGTGAAACAGGCCAGGCAAAAAAATATTGTAAATGGCCGTGGAGCAGTCATATGCAGTTTTTAGATAATACTCTGAAGCCACGCTCTCATTCTAGCAATGTATCCCAAAGCTTAACAGACAGTGATGAAAGCAAGTTACCTGAGTCACAAAATTTATCGCCCACTGGATGTGAGCAGAACAGCAATAAATCTGGCCGAAAATCTCCAACAGAAGAAATGCCAACTCCAATAAAAAAAATTAATGCAATCCGGGAAGACATCAATGCAAAACTCTTCAGATGACGTCGACAAAGTAATCAGTTATTTGGAAAAAGATAAAAAAAATGGATGGGATAGATTACTTATTTTTGAGTTACGCTGACACCTTTAAAAAATGGCGTCCAATTACTCAAACCAAGATGAAATTAGAGCTTGCTACATTATTTTCACGAACTGAAATTGATGAATTAAATGCACAATCTCCATCACCGTCATCTCCAACCTATTCCCATACTTTAAGCAATTCCTCGTGTCCTCCACAGTTCTGGAATGTGGATGCTCAGTTACCAGAAGTATCTGAGAATCTAACTTATCATGACTTGACCAAAAATAACGGTAGCGCAGGATTCTCACGTCAAACTGCAGATCAGGCATTACTTTCAGTAAGAGAAATTTATGAAAATGCCAGCAACCTGATTGAAGATTCCAGACTCTAGAACTTCATAAATACGTTTTGTTCTACAATGGGGGAAGAATAAACTTCCTCTGAGTGTTAGTTTTTATTTTTAATGTGAATTTCTACTTTTCATTCAATATTTATTATAACACATTATTTAAATGCCTTTGTTTTTATCACAAAAATAAATGTTAAATGTCATTCTGTTAATTAAAGTGGATTACAAATTGGATATTTGGTTTAATCTTACCTCAAACAGATGGATAGTTTTTGTCTTGTATCAATTGGTTTCCTCCAGTTCGTGGTGCATTTTTCAATATTTACTTTTATTAGTTCATGTAATTCTTCGAAGCACGCCTTTGACATTCGAAAATATTGAAAGAATTTGTCCTCATGCGACCGCAGTTCAATACAGAGGCGATGGTATTCACCACACTGTTCTCTTTTCTTATTAATGTCGTGCACCCAGTAACGTCTTTTATTCTTTTTCTTTTTTTGTAAAGCAAAAAGAAGCAAGAGCACTTCTTGAGATCTAGACTTTGCGAACATAATACAACAATATGAAACTTCTGACTGGCCTGCGTCTGTACACTGCGCGGATTGTGTGGCGTCACAAATCGCTTCCCGCCACGAGGATCGCGCGATAACTGCCCGCCGCGACAGATCGCGTTCTGTGTGCCAAAGCCTTAAGGGTACAAACATAGTGGAACGACGAGGCTAGAGGCATAGCGACGAGGTAAGCGCCGCGGCTTTTATTTCATCGTGTATTGTAATGAAACCAAACATAGTAAAGAGGTTGACGCAGTACTAAGCGACGAGACAAGCGAGGCGATACGCGTCGAGATAAAAATTATATTTATTGCCGCGTTGATGCAGGAGTGTGTTCATATTAAACGTCGGACGTACGTCGGGTGCACACCAGCCGCACACGGCAAATGCGCTGGTGTGCACCCGACGTACGTCCGACGTTTAATATGAACACACTCCTGGACGGGTCTAGCTGAATTCTTTTCAAGTTTTGACAAGTAAAGTGACGTATACAGTGTTTATTACATACAAAATGGCAGAGCAAGTCAATGTAATAATCTCCGTGTTCAAGAGGGGTGCATTATGGAATGCTTCTTATCCAGATCATAGAAATCGCTATGTATTAGATGAACTTTGGGCAGAAGTAGCTTCAGAATGTGAAATAACAGGCAAGTAAATTTAAGTAACATATATTTTGTACACAGAGTCACTGATATTGCACAGGGAAAGTATTTAGGTAATCTTTAAATGTGTCACGTATAAAAATTGCTTGATTGGGAATTCGACCTCTTGCGTTCCAATTTGGTCTGGCAAAATTGTTGTTTGCAGCACTTTCTGTGATTAATGTCAAATGCCTTTCGAAGCCCTCTTTATCCATGATAACATGATGTAAAATACAAATTGACTTGATTATAATGTCGGCGAGTTGTTCGTCTGATTCTATGGCTTTGGATAATATTCTCCATTTTGCATACATTATACCAAATGAACATTCAATCGTCTTTCTTGCTCTAGACAATCGCTGGTTAAAGTACAGCCTTTCAGGATTAAGAGTTTGTCTACTATATGGTTTAAGCAAGTTTTCTTGTGGTGGATATGCTTCATCGGCAAAGAAAACAAATGGCATGCGAATTTGCGTATGTGGTAGACACTGTTCAGTTGGTACTTTTAATTGTTTCTTTGAAAGTAGTTCAAACAAAGCAGAACTTTGAAAGGTGCCCCCATCGGATTGTCGTCCATATCCTCCTACCTCTATTACAGTAAATCGATAATTTGCATCGCAGACTGCTTGAAGAACGATTGAAAAGAATTTTTTATAATTAAAAAACATACTTCCTGAATGGCTGGGACATTTGATTTTTACGTGCTTCCCGTCCAAGGCACCTAGACAGTTGGGAAAATCCCAGATGTTCATGTAATCCTCACTAATTTTAATGAAATCATCCTGTGTTGGAACTGGCATGTGTATTGGCTGTAATATATTCCATATAGCGTTAACAACTTCTTTAACGATTGAGCCAACCGTTGTAGCTCCCATGCGAAAAGTGAATGATAAGCTTTTGAAAGATTCTCCTGTAGCTAAATATCTGCAATGGAAACATCAGTTATAGCTCAATAGCTAAATAGCTGTAACAATTTGAAAAATGGGCGTGTATTTACTTTTTTAGCACTGGATGTGAAGATTGATAAACGAGAGTATAGGAAGTGGTTCATCACGACATGTGTAAAACACAATGAATATCAGCTATTTTGCATGGTGTTCTATTTTAACACTAGTGTTAAAATATACTACTTTCGACAATAAAAGACAATGTCAAAAAGATTTGTTTCAATAATTGAAGTACAAAATCGCTATTTGATTATGTAACTATTTGCAAACTAAACTTGTTTTCTGCACTAGACATGTAGATCTTGTGCAAAAAGCAAGCTGCTTTGTATCGTGTTTCATTCAAATTGTTTTCATAATTCAGTACGGAAAAAAATAAATTTTAGTTCGTGACATTGATTCGACTGTGTTAAATAGAAACCTATTTTAATACTAGTTACCTCATTTTAGCACTGATATTCTATTTCAACACCAGAGGATTCAATACAAACAATGTGGCTACAAAATGATGGATGCCCAGCACATTTTGCACGTGAAGTGAGGGCCTACCTTCATGAGGCTTTTCCTAGGCGGTGGATTGGCCGTCTGGGGCCAATTCTATGGCCGCCAAGGTCGCCAGACTCAAACCCTCTAGATTTCTTTTATTGGGGTTGCCTCAAGGATAAAATTTATTCGCGACCTAACACACCGATTGGATCCCTGGAAGAATTAAGAGAGCGTATTAACCAGGCTGCACAACAAATTTGTTATGAGCTTGCGGCGCATAAAACAAACATTTTTGAGAAGATGGGCATTGTGCATTCGTACTGGTGGCAGACACTTTGAACATCTTTTATGAGAATCGTAATTGGTTACTTCTTTATTGATGTTTTTGGTTAATTAAAGTTGAAAATTGAAAGTACTTTGCTGTGTTTTCTTAAGTTTACCTTACATTGAAACACATTGACGTCTTACCCAAATAGACCTGGAATGTTTACAAAAGTTCTTCCTCCACAACAAACCCTCATTTTTGCGATGTTGCCAAATAAGTTGACCCCACGGTCCTTTTGACATTGGCTCCATGATATCCACAACTAACCAAATGACCTATTTCTGTTGCAGAAAGGTTGTCCTAGAAGAAATTTATGTATATTCTTATATACCTATAATAATTTATAGAACAAGTGAAGAATACGTGAATTTTAATACAAATCGAGGTATAATACAAATCAGAGTATTTTCTGCATATTCGTGATTAACGTTTATATACGTCAACGCTGCACTTGGTTGTAGTAGCCTTGTAGTAAGAGTGAGTCATCGCCTGTGAATCTGTGCATGTTCCGTGTTTTGGCCGCCATTATCATTTTATGTGAAAATCGCTTTTATCATCGTGCTATACGCTTGATCTTCTTGTGTTTTTCAGACTATCATTAAATTATGGTGAGACAAAAGTGTTTTTTGTGTAAGGTTGAGGCTGGGAAAGCAGGCAGTGAAGGGATATCTTTTCACAGGTAAGGTTATGTTTACGATTCTACTCATTGGCGTGGAGTGCGTCATTTTCCGGATCCTCTCCGTATTTTATATTTTTTACATGTAAAATAATGTTTAGAAAGATTTTCATAACATTCTTAAATCAAAGGAAAAAAATACTGTTTTTTATAAGTGCTCATAAATTACCCAAGAGCTTGTATAAATATATCGTTTATCACAAATGTTCGTACAATGCATCTTACTTGAATTTCTAATTCTCATTCCAGACTACCCGCAAATGAAAAGCAGAGAGAGAAATGGATATCTTTCTTGGAACTTACCGAGATAAAACCTGCAGTGGGACTCTGTGTCACATGGAATTCCATCAATTGATTCAATTCCATACGACTGGCACCCCCTGTGCAAAAATAGTCGCAAAAAAGTGACAAATACTGTCGCTTGAAAACCACTTGTCCTGACGTGTGGAATTCTACGGAAAAAAGCTTTCTAACCTCACTTTGCAAATGCTTTGTTGTGTGTATATGACCTGACTGCGTCTTCTTCCGAATATTGGCTTTAAATTGTGCTTTAAATTTGGATCAATCATGAGAGTCAGACAAGAACATTGGAACTTGCTACTCGATATTTGCGAAAAAAACCCTTAAGTGATCAGTAATAAATTTAATGGACCTGATGGCAAAGCAAAGGGGCATGAACTGTGGCAAAACATTACCCATCAACTGAATAGTTTGGGATTTGGCGAAAAAAACAAAGAAAATTGGAGAAGGGTAAAAGCTTTAATCAACAATATTTAATTCTGAAGTTAATGTATGTATTTAATAGGCTTTGATTGACTGGAAATGTAAAACTAAAGCTAAGGCATCAAAAATCAAACAAGAAATTGTGAAAACTGGTGAAGGACCAGCAAATTATGTACCTCTCTCTGATGCAGAAAAGCGGCTCCTCAGCCTTATGGGAACAAAGTCTGTTCAAGGAGATGATGTATGTGAAATGGGCTTTCTACAGGTGAGTACTTCATAATGCTACATTAAAATGATAACATCAAAACATTACCTGATCACAATTATACTCTAACTAATACAAAAACTCCCTCAAGAAAACATCAAAGAACACCATATCAGAGAACTTGCCAAAGAAATTCAAACTGATTAACAACAATTACTGAAGAATCACTCCAGGTCCTCAAAAAAATAGAAAGTAATACCCAAAGTATTGCAGAGTCATTGAAAATACTTGCTGCTGTTGCACAAACAGCATTTTCAAAAGATAGTTGAGTATATTTTTATTGGTTGACTTGCTTTCACTACATTTTTGTAATATCAAACTAGGCCATATAATCCTCATGAAAATTTATAATAAAAAGTCTAAAACATATTTTGTGTATTCATTTATTATCAATTAAATCAAGACAATTCTCTACAAGAAAGTTGAAAAATCTAAGATTGAAGGAAAATCTTGTCTTATGCCACTCAAACCAGTGAAAATATTACGTCTCGTCAATCGAGGCAGCTGCTGGAAAAAAACTAGGCTATTTGTCTAGAGCCTGGAAGTACTTTTCTTCACATAACCTCCTCACTCTATACAAGGCGTCGATAAGACTTAACCTCGAGTATTGCTCTCATATTTGGGGAACTGCACCTTCGACCACATTGTCCATGCTCGATACTGTTCAGAGAAGGGCTGTCAGGCTGATCGATGACCCTTCTCTGATGGACGGTCTCGAGACCCTGTCGCATCGACGGGATGTCGATGAGCTCTCTCCTACCGTTATGTCAACGGGATCTGCTCCGAGGAGCTCGGCTCCATGATGCCACCGCGTCAAGCCTGTCAGACTTTGGCCTCCCATCCCAACTGAGTACGTCCAGATTTGGCCGGTACGACAGCTCCTTTGTGTCCAAGGTTTTGAGACTGTGGAACAATCTGCCTGAGAAGGCTTTTCCCGGTTCAACCAACCTTAGACAGTTCCAGGGTTGGATAAACAAGTTGTCTCTAAGTCCCTCATCATTGCAATCGCGGTGCCATGGCATTTTGGGCTTCTGCCTACGCGGCTGCTTCAGTATAAGAAAATAAAAAAGTTCATAGAATGAGTGATATGCTCATTTTAGAAACCACTTCAATCACCATTTTCTAAAATATCTACCACAGTATGTATCAAAATATAGACATTTTTTTAAATATTTTTACATGGAACTTAACAATTTGTCATAGTACTTATTCCTATAACATCTTTTCCAAAACTGGCATGTTTGCCCTAAGCAGATTCAAAAATTAACATGTTTTAGTGACAAACAACTTGTAATATGGAAAAGGATAATACATCTTTACAAGATACCTCGCATGATACATATAGTATATACTAATTAGTGAAGTATCTGGCAATAATGTTCCTTCTTAGCAAAATCCCATCTCTGTTTGTTCTTTGGTCAAAATTGCCTTGTTCCAGATGATTGTCAGTATCCTGTAGTGGTAGCATCTCCAAATTAAAATCCAATCTAGCAGCTACACATATATTATGTAAAATTGCACAAGCATTTGCAATATTACCCACTTTTCCAGGGCTATATCTGAGCACATTTGATAAACAGAGGAATCTTCCTTTCAATACACCTATGCACCTTTCTACACAGTTTCTTGTCTGAATATGGGAATCGTCTTTCTGGCGAACCAGGCAATGCATTTAGGATAGGAGTCATCAACCATGGTTCCTGATTATAACCTGAGTCACCTAAGAGCCATGAATGTCTATCACCTGCATTAAAAAAAAAGTTATCTAAAAATAATTTTCATCTGTGAATGTTACAAAAAGGAATATCAATCAACAATTGTTTTTGTGCATATTTCATATACAGTGTGAGTCTTCATAAAGTACACATATCAAAATCAGGGAAACTACACTCTATTTCATCGACGGATAAATCATCAAAAAAACATGAATTTGATTTTTCATGATTATATGAATATTTTAAAACTTTTAGTAGCAGCTTCTAACCATATTGAAATAACTCGTTACAACTTTTAAACTAAATGTCCTATCATATTGGAATACATTTTGTAGTGATTGCTGGTAAAAGGACGTGCCTGAAAAGTGAAGAATACCAGGAAAAGTAATGACATCCATTTAGAATAAAGAAAATTTTGATGAAAATCTGTTTTTTTTTTTCATTATTTTTACAATAATTTCAAATTTTCTATAAATATCGTCCCTTGTACCCTACCTTTTTTTATTTGTAAGTTATTCTACATGTTATCAGCTTTATAAAAGTAAAAATTGCACGTTTATTACTCAAATGTAACAGTTTCTATGAGTGTCTATAAAAAAAGCCCATGCGCATCGTCTTGCTAGGCACCATTGTTTATCATGTAGATACCTTTTTTTGGTGATTCAATGTAGAGTCGCGCGGGCTGAAGTACGAGTGGGGAGGCGGGCCCAGTTGAAAAACAATTGAATGTTGGGCAGTTAGGCAGCTATTTGTGTTTCTCCTGCCAACTTTATCAGTTTCGTTTGATACATATCACGCTTTGGCTTTTTGGTCGCGATGCCACGTATAAGTGATTTCCCTCCGGCACACATTGCCGATATCCATCATTATTATGGACTGTACCGAGGGAGTGCTAGAGCTGCTTGCACAGCTTATCTAGCTGCATTTCCAAATCGACGCCCTGTTCCATCAGCCCGTAACTTCCAAGAAGTACATAGAAGACTGGCTAACACTGGACTTGGTTTGCCTCGAGATCGCCGCGAACCATTTGTTATTATTCATGTTGCTATCGAAGAAGCCATTTTGGTTGATTTGTTTGCTGACCCGACTACTAGTACGAGACGTTTGGCGTTACGTCATGGCGTATCCCAGAAATCGGTTTGGCGCATCTTGAGGAAAGCAGGGTTGCATCCATACCATTATCAAAGGGTGCAGCACTTGCATGAAGATGTGGATTGGCGTCCAAGGTGCGTTAAGTCTACATGGATTTTAATAAAAACAAGAGACAATCCTGAATTCCCGAAAACAATTCTTTGGACAGATGAATCTCAATTCACGAGAGACGGCATCGTGAACTGTCGTAATTTACATAAGTGGTGCCCAAAAGATGAAAACCCTAGGCTGAAAAGGGCTTCAACATTTCAAGTGAAATTTTCTGTAAATGTGTGGGCCGCACTGATTGACAACTTTTTGATTGGTTCAATAATACTCCCGAGGACATTAAACGGAGAGAGGTTTCTGGAGCTTTTGCGGACTGAACTGCCCTTGCTGTTGGAAGAAGTGCCGCTGCAAACCCGTCGAAGAATGATGCTTCAAATGGATGGATGTCCTGCCCATTACTCGCTGATTGTCAGGTCTTTTCTTAATGAAAATTATCCAGGCCGCTGGATCGGTCGACAAGGACCTGTTGGGTGGCCGGCGCGTTCCCCAGATCTCACACCTCTCGACTATTTTTTATGGGGGACAATGAAACAAAGGGTGTACAGCAGTTCCATAAACAGCGAAGTGGAACTTGAAGAAAGAGTTTGCAAACGAAATCAAAAATGATCCCGAGATGATTCGTAGGGCAACTCATCAAGTTTCACTTCGCGCTACAATGTGTTTGCAGCAACGGGGTGGCCACTTTGAACATTTGATGCATTAAGCCAAAATGATTATCCTATAGACAAGTCTATTTGATAGGTTAATACTGTTGTTTTATTCCTACTCCGGCGTTGAACTGAGTTCACTGCTTTTTGAAACGCTGATTTAAAAATTTTTCACCATTAGGAAGCTAATAACATGTAGAATAATTTAACATTTAAAAAAGGTAGGGTAAATAGGACAATTTTTATTGAAATTTAGCAATTGTTTTAAAAATCATTGAAAAAATAGTGAGTTTCAGCATATTCCTCTTTATTTTAAATTTATAGCATTTAATTTCGTGGAAATTTTCACTTTACTGGTACGACCTATTATTTGCAATCACTACAAAATTTATTCCAATATGATAGGACATTCACTTTGAACGTTGCAACGATTTATTTAAATAGGGTTAGCAGCTGACTCTAAAAATTTTAAAATATTCATAAAAAATCAATTGTTTTTAATTTGTTTTGATAATTTTTCCGCCAATAAAATAAGGTGTAGTTTCCTTGATTTTGCTATCTGCACTTTATGAAGACTCACACTTTATATGCAATAAGGTCCTTGATTATGAAATACCAAATGACACTGTGAGCATACCTCCATGATAGCAAGCTTCCAATTCATTCCTCACCAATGAATTTCTCCATATACTTTGAAGTTGAGTCATTAATTTTCAGATAATGATTGTAGAAGAAAGATAAACCAAAATATGTGTGTAAAAATAAAAAATAAATAAAAAAAAATGTTACCTTGTTTAATAAAGTATCGTCCCGACAAGTATTTCAGTGCGAACCTGTATTTGATCGTGCGGTCTTGGAGCAGCATGCCCTGACCTGTGAGGTCTTAAGTCACCTGATTCACGAGCCCTTTGTACTACATTAACAAAGGCACGAGGGGTTGGTTGCACTCGATTGGGAAACCGATTCGCATAAATCCGTGATGCATCCGGGAGCATTTTGTAAAGACTGCCCCCCCCGTAAATAAGAATCATGTCCACAAGTTCAGCATTTTCGTAAACATGTGCCATTTTTGATTTCTTTTGAGCCACGCAACAAACACTACTATTCACTAACGCGTTATCGACTGACGAAAAACATCGTGATAAACGTTTCAAATTCTTTCGCTTTTTTGTTTCCGATGCGATGAACCGGTCAGGCGGATTATATCCGTTGTCGCCAAACACGAACATATTATTATTGAGACAGGGCGGTACTCAAACTTCCAAAGGGCTATAACTTTGTTACTTTAATTTTACAGGAAAAATGGTAAAGGAAAAAAACATTTCTTTTGATCAGATCTACTCACTGTTAAAATAAATGACTCAACGTCGAAGTCGAAGTATATGAATCATGAGATGCACCTGCAAACCTGGCATTGATATTAAGAATTTTTAGCTCATGATCACAAACCTGAAACAGTTTTTGGAAATTATAGATTTATATTTTAATATAATCAATCAACCTTACAATTTGTATATTTTTGGAATGGTAAGCCTTTCTGTTCAAATAGTTATGCTCTTCCAAAGATGGCCTTACTATTTCCACATGTGTGCAATCAATTGCTCCGATTACCCCAGGGAAACCTCTTGCTTCCATGAACCTTTGCTTAATTACATGTTTTTCTAATGCTGTTCTTGGAAAGTGTACCAGTTGTTCAAAAAATGTACTGATAATAGCATTATTTCATGAATAGCCCTTGAAATACTCTGCTGAGACATTGAAATTTGATAGCTCCTGCCTATCACTCTTTGGTAAGTGCCAGTAGCATAAAAATGAAGCGCAGCCAAAAAAACTTCAGGATAACAGGTACTGCTACAGTATTCGGCACCTTGTTCAAATGAGGTATGATGCCATTTAAAAACTATTGGGCCATGTCTTTATTCAGCCTGAACAATTCTTTGAATCTCACATCCTCAAGTGAAAAGGGATCACTTTCATTTCTCATCAATCTCCTCTCCATATTTTCGATGCAGATATCATCTAGCCTTTCCTCTTCTTCAACTGCCAATATCGCAGCTACGTTTATAGGTACTAGAGCCATTATCTTCCAACAGTGAAATATGCAATCAAAAACTAAGACCAAGGTTTCAAACATATATAAAACACTGCCACAGGTGATAGGTTAATTACAGTCAATGTCAAAAGAGCCAATGCGATACAAACATAAACATAACAAATTAAAAATTACTAGATATTACTAAAAAATTATGAGATACTTTCATCTTAGATAGTACATTGCCGAAAATACCCGAAGCGTAGTCGACTGTGACACAGAGTGCCACAAAACGCGACAGTTGCTTCCTACAGTCGATATCAACAGTGGAAAGCAAGGTCTAGAATTCCATGAGACACGGAGTCCCACTACTGGCCAGTTGTTTCCTCTCAATGGTAAGAATTTTATACACTCACAAAGGTTCAAACAACTCAACCAAAACAAGGTTCAAACAACCTCAAACAAAAACATTTTCCTCGACAACAGTCACAAAATTGAAAAGCAAAATAACCTCTTGAATGGAGAACAAGAAGAATGGCAAAATGCATTTGAGGTTCCAGAAATAAATGATATGAAGAATGATGAAGTCTCAAATTAACCAAAGAAAGCAAAGATCAACATAATATCCAACATTGTAATAAAAAGTGGAAGATTTGATTTGGTGGGATCTACAACATCTAATGATGTTTATGAATTCAGTGAAGATACGGAAGCCAATACAATTGTCAGTTCTAGAGTTCATCCCTCCATGGAACCAGCTATTCCATTGATTGTTGTTCCGCCTATGGAAGATGTAAAGCATTTGCCCATACCAGAGGACTTACCAATCATATTTGAAGAGTTCTGTATTATCCATGAAAATGATAACAGCAATATTGGGTCTGCGCCTATAGAGCTTCTTGAAGACACCCAGCACAATGAATCCAGCAGATCAGCTGGTGACTACAAAGTATGTATAGATATATAAACTGACTCTCAACCTTTACCTTCTTTTCGTAGAAGACAAAAACTAATTTTGTTTCTGAAACAACTTAGCTGATTTCCTAAAGACTATACTATACGGAAGTCATTGTAACTTTACTAGCCCTAATTTAGTAATGATAGAAATATAACAATAAAATTTCAGCTAAATATCATGAAAAAATAGGTCAACATTCGATCTAAGGTTTACTACTAGGTATCTTAGAAATTTTAAATTCGCAGAACTAAATGTCGGGATCTGTTGATCGCTAAGATTTTAAGGTAATATTTAGAAAGTCGCTCAAACAATTCTGAATTATATTGTCGCGATGAAGTGAGGTCTGTTTATCTGAAAAGCTTTTGAGCTTCTTATATCAATATATGGCGTTGGTTTTATTATTGACTTGACTGGAAATAACCTATAGATAGGCTAACCATGTAAAACAAATGCCAGATTCAGATACGGCAAACAAACCTAGTAGTTTTTTGTGCATTTTTCTTGAAGTTGACTTTTAATTTAATCGAAGTCAACCGTCCGTAGCATGGAATTAAGCGACCTCAAAAAATGTTAATACACCCCTATAGGATACAGTTATTCCTCTTTGATCAAATAGCAGAAAATGACTACTTCAAATTCATTGTAATAACAAAGAATCAAAGGTATTTCATCGCAGCATTATCACCGGAGGTAGTCGACACGTCAATAGTTATTTCTACGAGATATTATATAATTTTCATTAGTCGGCTGGTAGAAACGAGTCACAGCTCTCAGCGTATCATTCAACTACAATTCTGATGTATAATGTACCTTAATCAATTTTTAGATCGAGGAGCAACAGACGGTGCCAAGTAATTTGAACACTACAAATAAAAAGAGAGAGGTAAGTCAAATCTGGAATTTGTCTGCTTCACATGTGATAGATTGGAGGTTTTTGTTGAACATATTTTTGAACCTGTCCTATTTTTATCTAGTGAAATTTGAACCTTGTAGATACTTTTAGTGAACTTTGGGCTAGCTTCTCAAAAATTTTTAAAATGTCATTTGATGTAAGGTTTGTGGTTTGTGAACCTTAAAACTCAGAATAAGCCTTGGGATAGCTGATAAAGTTGAAATAAAGGTTTATGCATCATTGTGCGTAACCTATTTTCTGACACGTTAGCTATGGAGTTTCACTAAGGCCAGTAAGTTCAGTCGTTCCTAGGAAGGCTTCCTTCGTAGGACGCCTTATTGGCCTACTCGATTTCAGCATAATTCGTTTTTGCTATTGTTTCATACAACAAAAAATCATTATCCTCAATCTAGTAGGCCATAAAGGCGCCCTACGAAGGAATCCTCCGTAAGAACGACTGAACTTACCGGCCTAAGCTCGTTCGGCTCACTAATGAAAATTTTGACTATTTTAAGCAAGCACACAACAACCTCTAGAAGTAGCATGACTGTATAGCACTTGTTCCATGAATTTTGATAATTGTTCCATATCACTCTCCAAAAAATGCAGCAGCTGACACTTTTTTAGAACATACTCATATCAGAACTTCTTCCCATCAATGAAAGATTTACTATCGGTGTCAAGTATTTGTTTTAAATTTTTAAATGAAATGGTGTTCGTACTCATATTATATTTTCAGATTTTAACAAATCGACTTCCATTCCACTTTTGAGAGATTTAATTCCATCGCATTTGAGCTCCGAGTTCATCTGCCGAAGCTTTTAATTCATTTCTCTGTTAATCAGTATTATCTGCATAAAGGATGTAAAAGTATATAATTATATGCTATCTTGTTAAGTCCATCAACAATCAATTAGGAATCTTATAATTTATTAATGTCTTCATTTTAGCTCGTATCACATAAAAATAATTTAGCCAAACTTCTACAGTCTTACACAATCCAACTTACCCTTACTCTTCCGAAATTCTATATAAATATTTGCATAATTACAAACCCAGTGATCTCTTTTCAGCTAGAGCTATCTATCGGCTCTTAACCAAGGAAACAGAACTTTTTTCAATCACTCATCATTTGACTTTTTTCTCTGACTGATTCAATTAAATCACCATATTTTGATCGCTCTCTGTGTTAGAATGTCTAGGTTTTAATTTTCTCCAGCTTGCCTGTACTTTCCATAAACTTCGAACTTTCCAATTTCAAGATATCTATTACGACTTGACTAATACCACAGCCGACGTCAACTACGAGCCGTGAACAAAGAAATCTGGCAACGTAGGTGGTAGTGTTACTCCCGCCGCTGCTTGCTGCATCGACGCAACTCGTGCTCAAAACGCTGAGAAAACATAACCTTTTCAATTTGTGATTTGGGAATCCCAGAGGCTGTAATTAAGAGATAAGCTTGTTTTCTAACGGCCCTATTCACCATTCCCTAACAGACTGTTAAATTGTTTAACACTTTGTTAAATCCATTTTTAGTATTCACCATAGCAAACGGTCTGTTAAAGTCATGGATAAGTTAACAGCGCGATGTTGGACTGGTAAACCACTAACTGACTGTTTAATTCTAAAACGTCAAAAGTGTCATCCCGACTTTATTTTGCCTGGAGATTTCGTAGAAGTGATTTACAAAATACAGTCAGCGGACAGCGAGTAGGGGCTTGTTTTGTATAAGTATCAAAATTGATAGCCTCAGTAGAATTGATATTATCGACATATTAGAATCTTCGGAAACAGACACGAGTGACATTGAAGATATCCCGAGAGAAAGAATTGTAAGAACTAGGAGGTTTCCCTTGATTGAACTAGATGATTTGGAGTTCAAAAGAAGATTTAGAATAAATAAAAATACATTTAGGCGACTGGAAAATGTATTGCAAAATGTTATAGAACCGATAAATGAAAGGAACCAGCCAATCTCAAAAGCAAACCAAATCTTGATATGTCTTCGATTTTTTGCTACAGGTTCTTTCCAGATTAATGTTGCTGACCTTTCAATGTATCTCAGCCTACCGTTTCCAGAATAGTAAAGAAAATAACAAGACACATTGCTGCATTGCGGCCACAATTTATTACAATGCCAGAAACAGAAGATCAAAGGAGGGCAGTTGTTCTTGAGTTTTATAATCTAGCACAATTGCCTGGAATTATAGGTAACGTTCGCTACTATTTTCGTTCTATGATTATTATTTTAGATGTATTTTCAATGAACTAAATATCAATGTTGTTTTAGGAGCAGTGGATTGCACCCACATCAAAATTCAGTCACCTGGAGGTGAAAACGCAGAAGTATTTCGAAACAGAAAAAGTTATTTCAGTATTAATACACAAATAATAGGTAGTTTCGATTTGAAAATAATGGACATAGTTGCACGTTGGCCTGGTTCAGTTCATGACACAACAATATTCAATGACTCAAACATAAGAGGTCGTTTTGAAAATAATAAATTTTCACCCTACTGTCTGGTTGGAGATGGAGGTTATCCTTGTAGAGTGTATTTATTAACACCCTTACAAGACCCTCAAACGTTACCACAACAGCGGTACAATAATGCCCAAATTAAAACGAGAAACCCAGTAGAAAGATTGTTTGGTGTATGTAAAAGAAGATTCCCATGCCTGTCACTAGGTATGAGGCTAAAACTTGAAACCATGTGTGAGGTTATTGTGGCAACTGCTGTGCTGCACAACATGTGCCTAGAACAGAATGACACTATCGATTTTTTTGAGAATGGACCTGAAATGGAACAAATTGAAGAGATCCAGGTCCGAATTGGATATCAAAATACTGCAACCAGAGACTCAATAATTTCAGCAATTTTTACGTTGCCATGAAAAAATTAATTATAATATAAAGATTTACGTCATGTATTCAAAGTGTTTAAAATAAAATTCTTATGGAAATTTTAAGTATCTTACTTTCGATACGGATAACTTGACATTTTGCCTATAAGTTGTATCTACATGGGAACAGAAATAATTCAACTTAGTAGTAAATACTTCATACACTTTTATTAAATATAACTTGAAGTTATGTCATCAGCCTTTTATTGCAACTTATTTATAAACCATAGAAATGTAACTTAAATATAACATCACAAAACTTGTTCAAGGACAAAAATATATGTGGTGAACATACACATATCTATTACATGGAGACAATGTGACCATTCAGCTAACATAAAGTGCAGTACTTTTATGCTGGGCAGCAGTAGCCATGAAATAACTCTCATATTTGATCTTTTGGTTAATGTTGTGAAATGTAAAAACCATTCTATGACTACTGCTATTCAGCATAAAAGCGCTGGACTTCTTTACACCGGCTGAATCATCCCATTAATATATGCAAAATCTTTACAAAATAAACATTTTCCTTAAAACCTTCTTTATAGATTCATCACATGAATATCACTACGGATATCATACAAAACTTTCAATTTCTGTACAGCAGCCACTCCTAGCTTAATGAGACATATTTTTTTAATTCAATGTTTTTTATTTTGAGGTTAACTATTTCCTTTTGTCTAATGAGTTCTTTAATGTCATTTTCTAGTTTTGCTCCTTTTAAATGTTCCAGTTCAGTTTTTGCAATTGTCTTTAATACCTCAATTTTTAAACCATACATTTCACCTTTTTTGTTATTTATGTCTATAACTTTACTTTGCTTACTCGAAACCATTTTTTTTAGTCTCGGACCACTGAAAGGCTTATGTTGTAGTGGGTCTATGGAATGATATTGGGCTCCAGAATTAAATTTTCTTTTTTTTGACTTACTATCCTCTGCTTCACTTGCACTTCCTAATTGAGGTTCATTTACACTGCCTTCTTCCAAAATATCTGGAATAATGTTGTTAATGATTTGATCATCATCAATCTGCATGTCATCATGGTGAATCTGCGTTTGATCATCTCCAATCTTTGTCAAGTGATCTTCATATACTAAATTTATGCTTTCCTCCAGAATTTCGATGATATGGATAAGATCAAAGACTTTCAAGAATTACATTCTTCATTTTCAAAAATTAAAGCCTCACAGAAATGGAATAATAAATTATCTGATGGAAAGCTATATTTTTATAAATTGGATTTTGAAAATGATATCTCAACTTTGAATACACAGATTATAGTTGATGGTCAGATGGAAGTTCAGGTTGTTCATAAAGGATGTAAGCTTTCTTTTAGTGACTTGAAGTGGGTTTTGCCATATGATCTCAAAATTACCAGATGGTCCCAATTAGAAAACCTGCTAAATAGGTATTTTTTCTATTTTTCTGAGAACCAACACAAAAACTCTGTTGAAGTTTGCATCATGAATGCATTGGAACAACTTGACACAGCGATTTCCATAATTAATAATGACTCAGTTATGTTTCCATATACAAAAAATCTAGAGATTATTGCTGATCAGCTGAGACAAATTCAAAACAGGAAAAACAGATATGCATCACTTTCAATAATAATGGCTTTTACGTTTTATAACCACTCATCATCAACATATAATTTAATTAAAAGATTTTTTATTTTGCCAAGTAAGCGATACTTACAACATATCTCCTCAAGTATGGATATATCTCCAAAAAATGATAGGAATAATGAACACTACCTTTCGAATATAGCAATTAAATTAGCTCCAAGAGAAAAAATTGTAATTTTGATGATCGATGAAATTTATATAACATCTAGGCTGGACTATCGCTCACAAAACATTGTTGGGTATGCCTCAAATAAAAATGACATGGCTAAAACTGTTTTAGCCTTCATGCTATCTTCAGCATTTGGAAACATAACAGAATATATCAAATTACTACCAGTTTCAAATCTAACAGGTGATGAAATGACACCTTTGGTTGAACATGTGATAAATTTAGTTCAAAAATGTGGATTTGAAGTTATTTGTGTTGTTACTGATAATCACCGAATTAATAGAGCAATGTTCAGGAAATTAGCAAAGGATTCATCAGAAAATTATTCTATTCCAAATCCACATAATCCTGATAAGAACATATATTTAACTTATGATGTTGTGCATATTTTCAAGAGTATCAGAAATAATTGGATTAATTTAAAAAACCTAGACAAAACTTTTGTATATCCTAGTTTTGACAATAATGATATTATTCAGTATGCTAAATTTGAAAACATTCGTGCTGTATATCAATTGGAAAAAGAAGCTGTAGTTAAGAAAGCATATAAATTAAGTTATAAAACATTGCATCCAAATTCATTTGAAAGGCAAAATGTAAATTTTGTAGATAATTTATTCCATCACTCAACAACAGCTGCTATGAAAGAATAAGGGCCGGTATTATAAAAGCTGCTCTTGACCGAAGGTTGTTCAACCACCGGTTGAAATTCAACCGCCGGCTGAGAGCTGGTCGGTATTATAAAGCAACTTACAACCATAAGTTGGCTAACCGAGACTTGACGCTCGTTAAGGTCTGTTGGCTACACTGACATTTTGATTTGACCCAATGAAATGCGAGTTATTTGGCGGAAGAAACAAACGTCATTTGCCAGGAATGTCAATTCTCTATTTTCCTCCGCTATTTATCGTTTTATTTGTGAATTAAAGTTATTTAATATGTCTACGAGAAGCAAAAGAATAATATATTCAGAAGCTGATTGTCATACGCTTGTGGATATAATTATTTCTCATAAGAATATTATCGAATGTAAGAAAACAGATGCCACAACTTGGAAAGAGAAGGTGAGTGATTATTTCTATAAATTCTTAGTAAAAAATCTACATGTGGGGTATATTTTAGATAACTGCATGGGCAAAAATAGCAGATATTTATAATGCCACTACTATGGAGCCAAGAACAGCTGAACAGTTACGTTGCAAATACGATAACCTAAAAAAAGAAGTGCGCAAGCTCGAGGCTCACAAAAGACAAGCGTTATATCAGACTGGTGGTGGTGTGAGCGAACCTGATATAAAAGGTTCACTTAAATTATTGTATGCTAAAATTAATAGTATAATTAGCTTCTCAGTCCAGGGTTTAGAGCCTAGTAATGGTGATAGCGATTTGGTGATGGATGTAGTAGAGAAGGGACAGCCTAGTATGTATAATAATTTAATATTCTATAATGATTTCAGCATATGCAAAATTATATTTCAGATACATTGCAGCAAGCTTTAGAAGAAGATATTCTATTTGATAACCTGCCAAAAGAGACAGTTGCTGAACAAAAAAATGGTATACATTGTCTTATGTTTAATAATATACTCCCTATATTTATATTTTAGATATTTTTAAGAATAGTGAATCTGAAGTAAAAGAAAACGAAATGCTGACAGAAACAAAGAAAGATCCTGAAATTAAGAAAGGTAGTACAAATCAATGGTCTGTACATTTTCCATTATTATATGAGTATATATATTTCAGACTGGTCAGATTACACTCCTAAAATGTTACGAAGCAAAATACATAGAGTATTACAAGTGAAGAGAAAGGCAACTGATCACCAAAGTGAAGATGCTAAACAAAATTTAAAGAGGAAATTAATGGAGGAGGAAGCCCAAAGAAATAAGGAATATCATATTTCACGTATGGAACGAGAAGCAGAAATCCATAAGTACAAAATAGAAAATATAAGATTGCAAAATGCAAAATTGCAATTGGAGATAGAGTTGCTAAAAAAACAATTATAAAGGAAATAAAAGTTTAGTTATACTGTTAAAAACTTGTATTATCTATTCATATATTTCATTTCTAATTGTCAACATAAATATCTCTATAGAGAACTATGATTTGTGCGCCATAACATATATACTTCAATGAAAAGGACATATACATATAGAACAAAAAGTATAAATAATAAAACAATAATATAATTTTTATTGTGCCTGCTCTAACAAATTTGAAAAATATAAAATAAATTCTTCTCGAAAGTTATGATTTCCATCTCCAACTGGAACATTTTCATGTATGGGTTCATTGCCAATTAGAGTATTAGGATCTACTATTGGATCTGGCTCTTTCATATCGATGGCCAGGTTATGTAATATGGCACAAGCGACAATAATGTTCTTTGCAGTGCCAAGTGAGACCCTTATTCCAAGTGATAAAATAG